CAGAGAAGCAACTCAGTAAGAGTTGGAGCAGATTGAGAATTGATCACTTCATGGAGAGCTGGGATGAAAGCTCTCTTAGCCCTGGTTAGTTTGAAGCCCTTTCCCATACATTTAAAACACAAAATTGTCTATGAATACAGTGGATTCAAAGACAGCATCACATCTTTTAAACGTGTTCAGATTTTGATGCATGTGTCTGTTCAATTTTGTACCTTCACTGAGCTGTTACAGAGGTAACCTGTGAAAACCTGTCTATTGGCATCTAAGCAGAAAATAAACAGAATTAAGACTGTCCAAGGTGATTGGTTATGTGTAGTTGCCTTTGACTAAATTTTAAATTATGACACTAAGCCTGAGGTGGCCATTACCCGGTCTTAATGTACGATTTCACATTTATTACTCAAAGTTTCAACTTTCAGAGCCTGGATTTTTGAGAATAGAGTTTCATTTTATAGTCCAGATTCCTTAGGATGGTTCAGATCCTAAGGCTATGCACACCGGGGGTGCCAGGATGGAGGCTATGTACAACGAGCAGCTTTCTCTCTAAATCCTTCCTTTGCCCTCAGACTGTCCCTACGGCACCTTCGGGATGGAATGCAAGGAGACCTGCAATTGCCAGTCGGGCATATGTGACAGGGCGAACGGCAAATGTCTGAAATTTTCCTTCTTCCAATATTCAGTAGCCAAGTCTTCCAACAGGCAATTTGTTTCTTACACAGGTAAGAATTGATTCTGATTTTAAAAACTTAAAAATATCAGCAAATAGAATCAGATGTTAATTTGAATAACTTTGTTTCCTTTATTTTACTAAGGGGAAAGGTGGGTGGTAGTTGAGTTTGGTTGCTGTTGCTGTTTTCTAAAAAGATCACATTAGTAATTTCGAGGATTATATACAATTTCTCATAAAGTTTACCCAGGTTGCATGGAGGATGAATATGATTAATTACCAAAATATCTGTAATAAAACTTAACCAACTGAGATATAGAAAGTTTTAAAAATTCTTCAGTGATCTGTTTTATACGTTTACTACACAAAACTATTTCTCTCTCAATTTATGTAGGAAAAGTACTGAGGAATATATTGGATAAAGTTTAAAAGCTAAGTCAGAAAATACAGACTATTTCTTTAAAAAAAATACAAGTATTTAAATGGAATAATTCCAAGCATGTGCTTTTATGGGTTTTGGAGAGAATAAGAAATAGTATCTGTGATTGAAATTTAGGAAATGAATAAAGTTGTAGTAATAACTCATATGCTGCTTGTTAGCCCCTCTGTATTTCTTACACAGGTTGTTAAAATGTGAGGGATACACAACCTATAAGGTGGTGCTATACACATTTTGATTATCTTGTTGAATAAATGGTCAGTACAATAGAGCTCCATTAAATTGAAAGTAGCTCATTTAAAACACGTAACATGAAAGCTTATTCTTCCATTGCACAGATGATGACTATAGATAATAGTAGTGTATTATGTATTTCAAAATCACTGAAAGAGTCGATTTTAAGGGTTCTTACCACAAAAAAAGATAAGTATGCGAGGTGATGGATAATTAGTTTGATTTAATCATTCCACAATGGAAGCACATATCAAAACATCGCATTATACCCCAAATATATACAACTATTATTTGTCATTTAAAAAGTAGATAAATAAAACACACACACACACACACACACACACACAAATCCAACATGTAGCCATAGCAACTGCTAGTATCAACAAACAGTATACTCCCTAACCCCCCTAGATATAGTTATTAATACAAATCTATTTTATTTAGTTTTTGGTTCTGGTTCTTTGTAATTCAAATTAATTAATGTGAAATATTTGGCAAATGTGCCTATTTTTCCAGCTTTACCTCCTTTTTACATATGGGTGCAATTAAGCTCATTAAAATGAAGGTGAAATATTGTGCTTTTAACTGAATTATTAGTTTTAAGTATAGCTATGCCCAAAGGTGAGTATCTTTGTAAATATTTGATGTGGAAATTGAGACATTATTAACATTTTAAATACTTATGACTTGTCCCTATAGTCCTTGAAAAGCAGAAGATTGGATTTTAAGACCTAATTTTTTTTTTAATTGAAGTGAAATTCACATAGCATAAAATTAAACATTTTAAGGTAAACAGTTCAGTGGCATTTAATATATTTACAGTGTTGTGTACCCACCACCTCTGCCTAGTTCCAGAACATTTTTATCAGCCCCAAATAAAACTCCAATATCCGTTAAGAAGTTACTCCTGTTCCTCACATCCCCCCCAGCC